AAAAAGGAAGCAAACTTCGGCAAGCCAAAGTTTATATACCCTTGCAGTTATTACAAATCGACTACATTTCGACTTTTGTCTATATTACTAAAAACAATAAAGCTATGTCGATTTTGCGCTACTTTTTGTCATCGTTTCTATGGCAGCTATACGATATTGTTCTCCGATTTCTATTTAATTAAAACCGTAATTCCATAATATTTAAATATTACCAAATCCCAAAGAATAAAAAATAAAACAAAGTTATAATTTTTGTAGATTGTTTTTCCGACTGTTCGTATGGGAGCTGATATAGTCGCCCGATCCGGCTCGTTCTAACATATATATTACCTGCAATAGAAAGGCAACTTTTGGGAAAGTTTCAAGCAGATAGCTTTAAAACTGAGGGGCTAGTTTGCGTAGAAAGGGACAGACGGACATGGCTATATCGACTCTCCCTCACTGCGTTGCAAACTTTTCACTGAAATTATAATACTCTCTGCAAGGGTATAAAAAAGCTGAAGCCTAGAAAAAAACTATTTTTGGAATTGAAAAAAGTTGAATTCCAGTAAACGTCCCAAAATATTGACACAGAGCATTGTCAGGCAAGCCTTCACTTCATACTGCGAAAAAATAAGTAAAATATTCGATTAATCGTCGGGGGACCAAGTCGCTCTAGGGATATCAAAATCTCTTAACACTACTAACTTATAAGTCATGCCATGAGAAAAGTGACACATACTTTTTAAAAATATATATTTAAAACAAAAAAAACCAGTACAAAAATTAATTAGTGTTACTTTCCGAAAAAAAATAAATATATCCACAATTTATTTTATAATTAGGTAATTTTTAACTTTGATAAGCCGAAGTTTTCATTACCTTGAAGTCTTACCTAAAATTGATGAGTGTGTGCACTGCTCGAAAATATATACTACATGGACAAGTCCATAAGTCAAATTATATGACTAATTATAATCGTTACTTAAAGACTCAACGGTATATTGTATTCGTTAAAAGTATGTAACAAATAGAACGAAGCGTTTTATACACTATAAAGTATACTTTCTTGATCAAGACAATAGCCGAGTCGATTAGGACACCTTCGTGCAAGAGGTTAAGAGATTTTTTAATTTGCCTTAAGGGTTTATTCTGGTTAGTTGCGTCAAAAAATAGGCAATTTTCAGGAATTTTTTTGAACAAAGAAAAAAACATAGGTTTCAGGTATATTTCTGATATGTTAAAGATTGTTTTGTAACAAATTTCAAAAATTTTGAATCATTTCCGGAAGCAGGACACAGGGCGACGTAGGCCAATGCGCGAAACAGGAACCCCGCTGGCGACTCTTCTACAGGGAGTAAAAAAATTCAAAAATGTTCTTGTTTGATAGGAGTGTAATTATGGAATGGACTACATTTATCGAAATTGAAAAAAAAAATAACAAAATGGAGCCGTTTTTAAAATTTAGTGTCCTTTTTATCGACAATATCGACAAGCTATCTATGTAATTCTAATTTATTACATGGACAATTTAATTACGCGAAATAAAAAAAACATTAAGATTCGTTAAAAATTGTCTGAGATATGAAAAACGCCATCTCGAAAAATGTAGTTTTCCAGAAAACTCGTTTGAAGTTTTATGTATATACGCTCCTTTGAGTCTGTCGGCTCGGATGCTCATAACTTTTAAACTATTAAGCCTAGTACTCAGATCGACAAAAACTCTCCGCCAGTCATGAGAGAGAGCGAGAGGCAAACAGCTGGCGTTCACTTTTCGTCATCGTTTTTTTTCACCTCGGTCCTCAGATCGACGAAAAAATACCAGAAAATTGCATAGCGTTGCCAGTCTGCGGAAATGAACTTTGGGTGAGCCCTAGCGAATAGAATAAAAAATTTAATCTTTTGGCGTGCGCTTCTCACTGAACATTATAAGAAATGGAGATGGAAAAACATCAAAAAACTCGCAAAAGTCGATTGCAGGAGTTTACATGTGAGGACAAAATAACATTAATACTCTCTGAGGTGCCTCTTGTCAGAGCAAAATGAGAGCAAATGTACGAAAAAACACAATAAAAGTTCAGCTAACTTGAACTTTAAATTAGCAAATAATTATCAGTAAATTAAAAAAAACAACTGTTAAATTCAAATTGTATTGTTTTTTAGTTTCTTTGTACAGCGGCTTGTCTTGCCAAGTAGAGATGCAGAAAACATCGCCTTTCCGATGTTTTAACAGGCAAACATCGATGCTTGCATCGGAAAGGCGATGTTTTCTGCATCTCTATTGCCAAGGTATTTGATAATATATTTAAAAGGCTCTTTCCCGCAAATACGATATTTGAATTTTAGCTGCTTGTCAACAAACCCAGCTGATTGACAGTATAACCGTAGCACGCTTAAATCTGATGAACTCTCGAAATTTTGGTCACACTGGAAAGATTAAAGTTTTTACGCTAGCATACTCGTTTGTCGATCTGAGTACTAGGCTTTACGTATTTCGATTTGCCCTTTTAGTATGATATTTAGACACTTGCAGCTATCGAAAAATGAAAAACAAAATTTGTTCGATTTATTTGAACAAACTAACTAGAATGGACTCTTAAAAATATTGAAAGAAAAGCCAAAAAAAAATGCTAAAATATAGCACAAAAATTATTTGTATATTTCTCACTTACTGTGTTTATTTCTGAACTCAACGGTAATCGGCCATTCTTTTTAAAGAACTTTAGTTAAAATTACTTAATTTTGCTGTGTTTTTTGAAACGATTAGTGAAAATGGAACGAGGTCAAGATTTGTCAGCAGATTTGCGAAAATCGGCACTAAATTTATATATGGAAAATCGTAGCTATCGCGAAATCGGTCGTATTATTGGAAAATCACCTTCTACAATACATAGTGTAATCCAAAAATTTTTTAAAGCGGGATAATGAGCTTCAATTCACGGAAATTGATATCTACAGTCCTGAAATATCCAAATACAACATCTACCTGCATAAGGCTGGTTTACATGATAGCTTTGCTCGTGGAAAGCAATTAATTTCTGCCATCAAAAAAAAAAGCGTTTGGAGTTCGCAAACATATTTAACATATTCGGCACAATGTCCCCTCTAAAGTGTGGAGGAAACCAAATGAAGCCATGAAAAAGAAGAACTTAATTCCAACTGTTAAGTATAGTGGCGGGAATGTAATAATTTGGGGGTGTGTAGCTGTAGGTGGAGTCGGACGAATGCTCTTCATTTTAAGAGAAAATTAGATTCCCACAAAACTTGGGCTAGATCCGAAGACATTCTTGTTTCAACAAGACAACGATCCGAAACTTTCTTCGTATTTGGTGCAAGAGTGGCTTTTATATCACTGCAAGCAGACGAAAACACATCACCAGTCACCTGATTTAAATCTAATAGAACATGTGTGGGATATTCTTAAGAAAAGTAGCTAATATTTAAAATATGCAAACATCAAGAAATATGTTTTTCTTTTAATATTCTTTGAAGGGTACGAAAAATTTTTTTTCGTAAAATTATGACTTTTTTGGTTAATTTAAAAAAATATTAAATTTTAATGTTGAAACTTCCTTATTTTTATTAAAATATATTAAAAGAATGTTAACCTTCACGATGAAACATAAATTGTTTGTTTTCGTTACGTTTTTGTTGAGTTATTAATGAATAAAGTCGAAAATCACGGGTGTCCGATTAAATGTTGTGCTGACTGTTTTAAAAGAGCTGAACCGAGCGAGAAAACTGTTACCGGGGGCGGGGAAGCTGCTCGCCGTCAGCCTGTGGCGCCACCTAAAATTTTCGAAACGTGCCAATGCAAGCATACACCACCTGACCCTCTCCACCAGCAAAGCAACACAATTCAACTCCTACTATTCATTTTAATTTTATAAATAAATTAAAAAAATTTAAGAATCAATATGAAATCTGATAACTAAAAACAACAAATTTACAAAAGTAATGAAATTTTTCTGCAGGCCATAGGTCTGGGTCAATGTAAAAATAGCGCCATAAAATAATTATGCAACACGGAATACAAGTTTTTTCTTCACAATAGCAGAGGCTTATATAAATTTTATTATTTTTAAATTATTTATATTTATAATTTTTATTGAAATTACAACAATTGGGCTACCATAAATAATATTTTTATGAATATTTGCATGTATGCCTGTACATACATAAATATGTAAATAATGCGTATGTACATATGGTAAATAACGTACAGTGATGAACTTAATTATTGGCACAGCAAGCATGATAAATATTAACACTATTTTTATCTAATATGCTGATATTTAAATGAAACAAAATATTTTCAGATAGATTCATTAATTTACTGATAAATATAAGTGACTTCATTAATTTATCTTTTATAAATCATTTAATAAAAATAAAAACAAGAAAATGGACCAAATTTACCTGAACAAAATTATAGGCACACTTGGGATTAATTAACTATTTTGTTAAAACTTTAGCGATTTGTCCACTTTTTTTTTACTTAATCCCATTGGCCTCTATACTCTAAATGGTATTGATACCACATTGATACCAAAATTCGGTTTTTGGTTGAAGTTCAACTTGCTGTGCCAATAATTAAGTTCATTACTGTATGTGAATGAAAATAAAATTTTAAACACATGTAAGTATATGTTTTTACAAACTTTTTGGTTCTTCAATATTTATGATTTTATTTTACATGACAAAAGACAACGAAACCAAAAATATTAGGAAACATATGTAATTAATGAGTTCAAACTTTAGTGACTCACCGTATGCACATTATTGTGGGTGTTTTTAAACAGCACATAACCAGATATATCTGGATAGTTAAGTACATACATATAGATAAAGAAAATGTGTTTGCATATGTACATGTGTGTATGTATATAAATAAAAGATATAAAAATACTGTCCAATTTTAATGTTTTTGCTTTTTGATATATCCGACTTAATAATACGCTTTTGACAAAATCAGATATTTTAATAAACGTTTATAAATTTTTGTTATGTGAAAAACTTGCCTTGCTGGATTTTGAGATGATGACACTAATTCAGATTTAAAGTTGTTAGTTTTCCATGGCACAGTTTTATTGTTTGTTTCTTCAGTAGAAGTTACATTTACACCATTAGCAAAAAGAATAATTGTAATTAAAGAAGCAAAACAAGTGTTTTTCATTGTTCCAGAACCAAACACCAAAAATGCACGGTCATTTTTTGCTAATTTTTCATTTTTTAACCTTGTTTTTATGCTTTTAGCTTCTTGGAGCAAACAATGTACAATTTTCAAAAACTTTTCCAAGATTATAATAATGATGGCAAATTTTAGGTTTTCTGCCCATTTAATCCGCTTTTGACTCTTGTAAAAATAATGTTTACTTTTTTCCATGCTCCGCTTTGGGTGTTATCGTTTACTATTTCTCTCTATCACGTTTGTAAACACCGTATAATTTGTCTCTTTGTTTGTGAAAATAAAAACGTGTTTAAGTACTAAATAAAAAAATACCAACACGTGAAAACCAACAAAAGCAGAAGCAGAGCTCGAATGAAATTTTTTCTACTTATACAAAGATTGCGCGTTTTGCGTGCTGCTTAAATACTTTTTTCGCCCTCTTTTCACTCTCTTCATAACTGTGACTTGCACTGAAATTCAACTCTTAAATTTTCTCTTACCTTGATGTCAGTATCCCTGCTAGAGTTGGCAAAACATAGATATAATTACCGCTTATAACCTAGTCCCACAAAGCACCATCACCCATTAGTCTGCGGGATAGTCCATAATACCCAAGTCCCACAAAGCACCATCCCCCATTCCTTTGGGCAATAAACCTAGTACTCAGATCGACGAAAACTGTACGCCAGTCATGAGAGAGAGCGACAGGCAAACAGCTGGCTTTCACTTTTCGTCAGGCTTTTTATTCACCTTGGTACTCAGATCGACGAAAAAAGTACCAGAAAAAAACTTCGCGTTGCCAACCACCTGAAATGAACTTTTGGTAAACCCTAGCGCAAAGATTACAAAATTTAATCTTTTGGTGTTCGCTCTCACTGAACATTTTAAAAAATGGAGGGCAAAATACAAAAAGCCGCAAAAGTCGATTGCAGGAGTTTACTTGTGAGGACAAAATAACATTAATACTATCTGGGTTGCCTATTGTCAGAACAAAGTGTTTCTTAGGTCAAAAATGTACGAAAAAACACAATAAAATTGCAGCTATTAACTTTATATTAGCAAATAATTATCAGTAAATTAAATTTAAATTGTATTGTTTTTTTTAATTCTTTGTACAGCGGCAGACTTGTCTTGCCAAGGTAGTTGATAATATATTTTAAAGGCTCTTTCCCGCAAACACGATATTTTAAGTTTAACTGCTTGTCAAAAAACCCAGCTGATTGACTACCGTGGCACACTTTATTCTGTTGAACTCTCGAAATTTTGGTCACACTGGAAAGATTAAAGTTTTTACGCTAGCGTACTCGTTTGTCGATCTAAGTACTAGGCTATAGCACTCAAAGCTTATCGTGATGAACTCTCAAAAATGCGGTCTCACTGGAAAATGCTTTTCCGCTGGCGAACTCGTTTTTCTATCTTAATATTTGGCCTTAACATTTTCCAGTTAATGCACTCTTCCCATAGAGTCCATGCGTTCGAAACGGGTGGGATTTTTGACAAATGTGAAACTGCAATTCCCACAGATCACATCCACCACCCAATAACAGCTGATCTGAACAGCTGTGACTCTTCATTTGAGCCCGTTGCATTTTGCACAACATATAAAATGAGCAAAACAGGGTTATAATGTCAAGGATGACATGATCTCGGTCAGCGCTCGCTGCTCCTCCAGCCTTTCTCGAGCACTGTCTCCACAAGCTCGGCCTTGTAGTCAACCTTTGCGCGCTTTGCAGAAGGCGCAGAGCTGCCTGAGGATAACTTCCGCTGCAGAGGCTTCTAGGTCAGCGGGGTCCACATCTAAAACCTTGAAAAAGTATTCCCTAGTACCTGCAATAAATATATTTTATTATTGTAAGCCACAAATATAAGTCTGGGGACATACTCTCGTTCTCCAAGGTGTTTTGCTCCATGTTGTGAGTATGGTATGCGCCTAGGAAAGAGTAGAGTAACTCTTAATGCTGCCACACGGATGCATAAAAAAGTCCCTTAAAGTTTGGATGGGGAACTAACTGGGAAATTTCGGAACGGCAAAACCTTAATTCAGCTGTAATACCCTCTTCCCATGGAGTCCAACCGTTGGAAACGGTTGGGATTTTTGGCAAATGTGAGACTCTGATTCCCACAGAGCACATCAACCATCCGATAACAGCTGATCTGTACAACATTTAAAATGAGCAAAACAGCGCTATAAATGATACGTGGTAACATACTGCACGAGAGCTACGCGAACAACCAAATCTGACTAATATGTCTGCAGATTTTGGCCAACCTCCAGAAAAAAATAAGAACAGCTATTGCCCAATAATGTCTAAATGGTAACATATCAAGTTAATTAAATATAAATATGTTTTTTTTATACCCTTGCAAAGGGTATTATAATTTCAGTCAAATGTTTGCAAAGCTGTGAAGGAGACATTTTCGACCCTATTAAGTATATATATTCTTGATCAGCATCACCAGAAGAGTCGATCTAGCCATGTCCGTCTTTCCGTCCGTAGCTCCCATTAGAACAATCGGAAAAAAATTCCAAAATATTAAAACTTTGTTTCATTTACATTTTTTTTGTTCTTTGGGATTTGGTAATACTTAAATATTATAGAATAACGGTTTTAAATTAATTAAAATCGGATAGCAATATCATATATCTTCCCTATTAACGATGCCAAAATGCAGTGCCAAATCGACATAGGTACATTGTGTTTAGTTATATAGGTGTTGTCTCAAGATATGAAGTTGTCATGAAATTGTTAAAAATTGAAGTATAGTGCAAGTTACTTTGGGGCGAAGGCGGGGGCACAATAAAGTTCTCTCTCGCTCTCGTCGAAGTCGCTCCATCTTCGCCAAACTTCGTTAAGCTAGGCTTTAAGTAATTTGTCTAAATATAGAATGTCATTCGTTAAAACTGAATTGAGCCGTCGAGACGTTTATTCTCTTCGTTTTCGTTCGTTTTTCTTTTTGCAAATTTACAATTTTAGCCACCACAAGTTTTTCGGTATTTTAATTAGAAAACTATCTAATTTTTCATAGCGCCCCCGGGTGGACGCTAAAACTATTTATATTATTATAAGGCAACTTAGTGACAGTGACACAAATAAAAAATATAAGCCAAGTGCAATTTAGAGAAAACCGATTGCAAAGTGATCTTTATTGTTGCGCGCGGCGTGTTGGTATTAGTAGAAAAAAATTCATAGCAGCCCTGCCAAACTTATCGTGCCGGTCGCGAAATTCCCTGTTCATCCGACAAAGTACTGCCGCCAGAGGGATGCCTTGCGATTCCTCGATGTGCAAGAGGAAAGTGGCAGCATGATTAAAAGAACCTAAAGCCTAGTACTCAGATCGACGAAAACTGAACGCCAGTCATGAGAGAGAGCGAGAGGCAAACATCTGGCGTACACTTTTCGTCAAGGGTTTTTGTCAACTCGGTCCTCAGATCGACGAAAAAAATAACAGAAAATTGCATAGCATTGCCAGTCTGCGGAAATGAACTTTGGGTGAACCCTAGCGAAAAGATTAAAAATTTTAATTTTGGAGTGCGCTTCTCACTGAACATTTTATAAAATGGAGATGGAAAACATCAAAAAACCCGCAAAAGTCGATTGCAGGAGTTTACATGTGAGGACAAAATAACATTAATACCATCGGGGTGCCTCTTGTCAGAGCAAAATGTTTTTTAGGTCAAAAATGTACGAAAAAAACACAATAAAAGTGCAGCTATAAACTTTAAATTAGCAAATAATTAAATAAAAAAATAACTATTAAATTTAAATTGTGTTGTTTTTTTAATTTCTTTGTACAGCTGCAGACTTGTCTTGCCAAGGTATTTGACAATATCTTTTAAAGGCTCTTTCCCGCAAATACGATATTTGAATTTTAGCTGCTTGTCAACAAACCCAGCTGATTGACAGAACGACCGTAGCACGCTTAAGCCTAGTATCCAGATCGACAAAAACCGTACGCCACTCATGAGAGAGAGCGAGAGGCAAACAGCTGGCGTTCACTTTTCGTCAGGCCTTTTTTCACGTCGGTCTACAGATCGACGAAAAAATACCAGAAAATTCCATAGCGTTGCCAGTCTGCGGAAATGAACTTTGGGTGAACCCTAGCGAAAAGATTAAAAAATTTAATCTTTTGGCGTGCGCTTCTCACTGAACATTATAAGAAATGGAGGGAAAAACTCAAAAAACTCGCAAAAGTCGATTGCAGGTGTTTACATGTGAGGACAAAATAACATTTATACTATCTGGGGTGCCTCCTGTCAGAGCAAAATGTGTTTTAGGTCCAGAATGTACGAAAAAACACAATAAAAGTGCAGCTATGAACTTTAAATTAGCAAATAATTATCAGTAAATTAAAAAAAACAACTGTTAAATTTAAATTGTATTGTTTTTTAATTTCTTTGTACACTGGCAGACTTGTCTTGCCAAGGTATTTGATAATATCTTTTAAAAGCTCTTTCCCGCAAATACGATATTTGAATTTTAACTGCTTGTCAACAAACCCAGCTGATTGACAGTACGACTGTAGCACGCTTAAATCTGATGAACTCTCAAAATTTTGGTCACACTGGAAAGATTAAAGTTGTTACGCTAGCGTAATCGTTTGTCGATCTGGATACTAGGCTTTAAATCTGATGAAATCTCTACATTTTGGTCACACTGGAAAGATTAAAGTTTTTACTCTAGTGTACTTGTTTGTCGATCTGGGTAGTAGGCTTTAGCAACGTTATAATTGTTGTTGGAATTTTGATTTGGCGCGCTGACAATTAAAGTGACGCCTACCCTGCATTCGGACGGTTATACTGAATTTTGCCGTCATTTGCAACCACTATTAATTTTGATACTTTGTGGCTCGATATTCAATTTAATATTTTTTTGGTCGTTTTCATTGTGGATAATTATTAAAATAATTCGAACAAATTTAATAATTAAATTAAATTATTAAGTATTATTATTATTTCTATTTTTTTTGTTTCGAAAATTTATTTAACATTTTCGTAGTCGTTCTAATTTAAACAATATTATCCTGTGTTTTAAAATTTATTTATTTTATTAATTTAATATTCTTTGGATAAATAATGTATTTATATTTAAATTTTTGAGTTTTTCCGGCTCGAGGTCAACAGCTGAAAAATGTTTTAAATAAATGTTTTTAATTTTTATTTTTTATTATTTCCAATATAATTCGGTTGCACTTCGACAACCGTCTTCAGGGCAACTATAATCAACATAAAAACATAAAATAACATAAATTTAGACAATAAAAAACAAAGCTTTAAAAATTATTACACCTACATAATTTTACACGTCTGCACCGTCGGACATGGAGATTAATACTAGTTGTTATTAAGTAAGTGTCTGTAAATGTGAGCGCAATTTTCAACGTCTGTTTTGTAGTTCAGTCTTATGCTTGTGGGTGTGTTTGTCATATGTAACATTTCTATGGTGAAGCGTTTTTTGTAATGTTGTTCTTGTTCCAAAA